CTCAGCCACCTGAGTTGCTGGAATTATAGGTTTGCACCGGCCACACACACTCCCACACAAGTTAATGATTAATCTAGGAGATCTGAAAGTCTTTGTTTTTGTTTTTTGTGGTACTGATCATTGAACCCAAGGGCACTTCACTATTGAGTGACCTCCCCAGCCCTCTTTATTTTTTATTTTGTTATAGGGTCTCACTGAATTACTGAGGCTGGCCTCAAGCTTACAGCCTCAATCTCTGGAGTCATTGGGATTATGGGTGTGCACTAACACACCTGGCAAGACTTCATTTTATGTAATATGAAGCCATGTAAAAAGCTTCTTTCCTATTTCCTCTGAAGAAAAGGAGTAAACTAATCTTTTTCTCTGAGATTACAGCTAAAGCGCCTCAAGACCTTTTATTTATGTGGGCATAATATTAATATTTACCATATTACTTTGCTCAATATTTACCATGAGGTAAAAATCTTCATGGTAATATTAATGTATCTATTCTGCCAGAAGACTATTTGAAGAAAAGCCAATACTCTCTAGGGGCCCTCTGGAAAATATCAAAGATAATTTCAATGAAAGTCTGAAAATTTTGTTTGAATTTGATTTTTTAAAAAATTGTTACATGAGGGGCTAGGGTTGTGGCTCAACAGCAGAGAGCCTGCCTCACACATATGAGGCACTGGGTTCCATCCTCAGCACCATATAAAAATAAATAAACAAAATAAAGATTTTTTTTTTAAATTGTTACATGATATTTGGCCACTTAATTAAGATAGGATTGTGAGTGCCTGAGAAACAGCCAATCAATGGTTTTCTATTTAACCAAAATGACAATAAATTTTTTAAATTAAACATAAAACTGGGCACCTTTGGAAGCCTGAGAAGGAACATTAGCTCTTTCATGCATGAAGCTCTGGGTTCAAGCCCCAGCACCCACTGCAAAAAAAAAAAAAAAAAATTATTTATGCTAACATAAATAGCAGTTTGCAGTGTTTTCATCATTGCTATTTTCAAGTGACTCAAAGATAAGTACAACAAAGTTCTTGAGTTTTAATTTCTAGTCTAATAAACATAATTATACCACACATAAATAAATGCTCTTTGAGGGGCTTCAGCCACAGCTCAATTGGCTTGCCTTTGTCACTCACCCGAGCTCCCACAATGCCGAGGGTTTTGGGCCCTGCCAGCCAAAAAAGCCCAGGCCAAAACCCAAAAGAAGACTCTGGCTAGGGCTTCAGCTTCAATTCCTTCTCAGGCTTCCAAAGGTGCCCAGGCTCCATGGTTTCGGCCTCTGCCTGCCAACCTGATGGCAGAAAGACTGCTGTAACCCAGCAGCTGCCGTCTGCATGGTGCTGATGCCCTCTTGTGCTGTTTGCACAAATGAACTTAAGGCAGAAAAATAAACAAACAAAAGCTCTTTGGAGTCCTCAATAAGCTTAAAGAGTATAAAGGGATTTAAATTCAAAAAAAGTTTGAGAACAACTGCTGCTTTTTTTCCTTGGAAAACAAAACACAGTTGTGTTTCTCTATCACTATTGATCCTATTACAGTATGTTCTCAACAACATATTGATTATCTTTTAACCAAAATAACTTCTATTTCACAGAGAAAACTAAATAGGGAGGCAATGATGCCAGCCTCCCGCTAGTTTGCATTTTAAGCAGCTCATGAACACACTGAGTACAACTTTCACAGCCACACACACGCCTTCTATACCCTCTGTTGTAACAGAGCATATTCATTATAATGACTCACAGCTACCCTCCCAAGAGCATGTAAAAATAAGCAAAAAATATATAAACTTTAAATTATGCTTAGTACTCAGTGTGCCTGTATCCTATCTTACTTAGAAAGAAATTATCTGGATATCCGTTGATTAGTTAAACCATTAATTAACTCATTCTAATATTAGTCTAAGATTTAGTTACCTAAAGAAGCCTCATGTGGCAGCTTACCCTTCTAATCCCAGCAATTTGGGAGGCTAAAGCAGGATTATAAGTTCAAGGCCAGTCTCAGCAATTAAGTAAGACTTGTCTCAAAAAAAAAAAAAAAAAAATTTAAAGGGCTGGGGATGATCAGACTTGGTGATGCACACCTGTAATCCCAGTGGCTTGGGAGGCTGAGGCAGGAGAATCTCTAGTTCAAAGCCAGTCTAGCAACTTAGGCACTTAGCAACTCAGCAAGACCCTTTCTCTAATAAAATATATTTAAAAGGGCTAGGGATGTGACTCAGTGGTTAAATACCCCTGGGTTCAATCCCCAATACAAAAAAAAAAATTACCTAAAAGGTCTTAGAAATTATCTTTAAGCTGACATTTTATAAAGTATAATTACTATTCTCCAAAAAATCTATAACCCCAGTCTAATCTCAAGAAAAACATCAAATACCAATAGAGGAATATCCTGCAACATACAACCTGACCAACATTCTCCAAAACCATTTAAGGGCATCAAAAACAAAGAGAGTCTGAAACTATCACAGCCAAGARAAACCTAAGGAGACAAGACAACTAAGTGTAGTTTGGTAAACTTGAAGGAACTCTGGAACAGAAATAAGTAAAACCTAAGAAAATCTGAATAATTAGTGGACTTAATAATGTGTCTTTATGAGTTTCTTAATTGTAACAAATGTCCTATGCTAATATACAATGTTAACAATGGGGTAAACTAGGAGTGGATGAAAATTATGATTGATTTCCTATAAATATAAACTTGTTCTAACAAATCTATTAATAAGAATAGAAGTAGCTGGGCACAGTGGCACATGCCTGTAATCCCAGCAACTTGGGAGGCAGAGGCAGGAGGATCACAAGTTCAAAGCCAGCCTCAGCAGATTAGCAACTCAGTGAGACTCTGTCTCTAAATAAAATATTAAAAAGTGCTGGAGTTGTGGCTCAGTGGTTAAGCACCCCTGGGTTTGATCCCCAGTACCAAAAAATAAGAGAGAGAGTAGAAGTATATAATTACTATTGAAATTAGAAGTTTGAGAGATTAATTGGTGTAATGCAAATTTGTTTTTCATAATTTTACTTTTTTTTTTTTTTTTAACTGGGACAAACCCAGTAGAGCTCTAACTCTGAGCTACATCTTTTTTATTTTGAGACAGAGTCTGACTAATTTACCCAGTATGGCCTAAAATTTACCTGCCTCAGCTTCCTGAGTAGCTGGGATTACAGGCTTGGGCCACCGAGCCCAGCAACGCTGTTTTTCTTAAATGAATTCAGAAACACTTTAGGAATTCAAGTTCACATGAGTAAATCTTTGATAATTTTAATGAAAACAGCTGTGACTTTTCATGTTAAGTATAGTATAGCATGCATTTTATTCTATGTATGTTTGCTTTTCCAAAACATACACTGGTTTATTGATAAAATAAGATGAAAACAAATTTAAGAGTAGTACATTGAAAGTACTAGAAATTTGCTTTCCAATTTCCTGGGAAATTTAGGATTGCTGTATTTATGAATGTAACTCAAATCTTTTATTTGAGACATTTATCATCTAATTTATCTGTACTCTCAGAGATAGAAAGCATTTCACATTCAGGCACTCAAAGTTTGTTTGTTTGTTTGTTTTTTAATTAAATTAAAGTTCTGAATAACTTATATATGCCAAGGTTATAGCTCTTCAGATACACTTTTGGTTATAGGACCACAGTAAACAAAACAAAATATTCAGGTCTGAATTTTTTTTTTTTTAAGCCAAAGAATTCCTAGTTGATTTAAGCTCCAAGTTTTAAAAGAAAACTGAAGAAGAAGACCTAACAAAGCAGATCTCTGTCATTCTCACCCAACAGAGAATCTTTCTCTGCCGTCCTTCTACTGAGATCCTACTCATTGCTACTATAAAACAGGAACTAGCTTGTTGGCCATAACTGAACCAAAAATAAAATCAGAAGAGAGTGGGGAACAAACCAGAAAAAAGTCATTTGAAGTTGAATTGTGGGCTGGGTATAACCCAGTGGTAGAGTAGCTGCCTAGCATGTGTAATGCCCTGAGTTTAGTCTGGGGTGGGGGTATGTGYGGGGGATTCTATTGCATCTTGGGCTTCACATTCACTCTGGGAGCCAAGGAAAGGTGAGATCACTTCCCCAGCAGCACAACTCAGCCTGCCCAGTCAGGTGATTCCATTGGCATCCACGGATGGTCTCTAAGACTATTATAGAATGGTCATTTTGTTTGGCTTTGCTAAGGTAAAATCATCACATACAAATATAAAATGATGACTATGTCAAACATTTTAACCCTTTAAGTAATAATGGAACCAGTAGGATGTTATAATCATTTCTTCCTGCCAATTTTAAATTCCTAAGCATCTTTCAACTCTCTCCCTCTCTGCCCCTACTGTCATGATCCTGGTTCTTGTCCTCATCTCTTTGTCTTAAGCAACCAGCTTCTTTGTTGATCCTTCTGCATCCACCCTTACCACTTATGTTTAGTGCCCTGCTCCAAGTCCACTCACTTTGTCACTCCCCTCACATAATCACCGTCACCCTCAAAAAAAATTTCATGTTTCTCCAGGTGTTACTACATCTGAGGCAGACCCCAGGGTGTTTAGCAAGCATCCCTAACCATGCTCTAACAGATTTGAGAACAGGATCAAATCCAGGCCCCTCACAGAGGCACATGAGATTCTTGAACACCCCTTGCTTCTCTTGTCCCATCTTTTACCACTCTCAGCTTCTCACTGCCAGATGACTTGAAGTATTCTTTGGATGAGAATTCAGGTCAGGTTTAGGGTGCTTTAAGAGCTTACACMTGTACCCCATTCTCCCATAGTAATCCGGATGCCCCACCTTCTGCATCTCATAGTATCTGTGTTGAAATTATTGCTCTCTAAGTTTCCACAAAGTGCTCTGAAGTCTTCTGCATTCTTGGATTATCAGTACCTGTTACTGTACCCTGTGCGTAGTATGCAGACATTTGCTGAAATGTATCTTTGGCAGATCAAGCACGACTCTGCCCGTGGGATCTCACTAAGTGACTGAGACAAGGTATTTCTCATTTCAGCTCTTGGTGGGCCCATGTAGAAATGGGACCCCCAGATCCCATCCTGGGAGTCACTGAAGCCTACAAGAGAGACACCAACAGCAAAAAGATGAACCTGGGAGTTGGTGCCTACCGAGATGATAATGGAAAGCCTTATGTGCTCCCTAGCGTCCGGAAGGTGAGCTTGCCATCTGCCTCAGCTGGTTAAGAAGAATGAACAGAGGGGAGCACCTGACAGCCACGGAAAGAGTACAGCCACAGCCCTGGGCTCTAGTTCTGGCATGAACTGTGTGCATTGCTCAGGATTTCTGGTTTAGTCCTGGCTCTAAAAATGAGAGACACTATAGTGCGTACCTGTAATCCCAGTGACTTGGGAGGCTGAGGCAGAAAGATCGCAAGTTCAAGACCAGCCTAGGCAACTTAGTGACTCAAAATAAAAAAAGGTTGGGAGAAGTAGCTAAGTGAAGAGTACCCCTGAGTTCAATTTCTATTACTGAAAGAAAAAAAAAGGCAGGGGGAGGGGGTGCTAGAATCATACTGTCTTTTCCAAGATTTTAAAATAGACAGTGTCATATTTCAACATGAGGGTACACAAGAAGACCAAAAATTTAAACATTGTCTCTTGGCAAGAGGAAAATAGCCCTCTGTACATGAGAGTTACTATTATTATTTTCTCTTTCTTCCATTTTGTTTGCCTTAGAAAAACCCTTGTCCACAGGTATGCGCTGTCCATCCTTCTTGCTGAACTACAGTTTTTTTTTTCATTCATTCTATTAGTGACTTGGTTTCTATTTTAACTTTCATATAATTAACCCACTTAAGAACAGGTTTTAAAAATTATTCGTGGCTGAGGTTGTAGCTCAGTACTAGAATGCTTATCGAGCATGCACAAAGCCCTGGGTTTGATCCCCAACACCACCAAAAATAATAATAATTTATTTAATTTACATTCGCTATTGTTACAAACTCCAGCGACACCAAGCACTATTATACATTGCCTTATTAACACCCACTTCAGCCACATGAGACGTTAAAACAGTTGTCCCACTGGGCATGGTGGCACATGCCTGTAATCCCAGTGGCTTGGGGGGATCATGAGTACAAAGCCAGCCTCAGCACCTTAGTGAGAGGCCCTAAGCAACTCAGTGAGACCCTTCTCTAAGTAAAATATATTTTTTTAAAGTGCTGGGGATGTGGCTCAGTGGTTAAGTGCCTCTGGGCTCAATACCCCCAGTACAGGAGGGAAAAAAAAAAAAAAAAAAAAAAACAGTTGTCCCTATGTTTAACAAATGAGGAAAATGGGACTCAGGAAGGTTAAATAACTCATATAGTTGATAAGCGACAGCCAGGCCTCTGACTCTAAAGCATGAAAATATGTGGCTATGACTATTAATTCTTGGAAGTTCCTAGACTGGCAGACACCTTGAAATGCTTCCCTTTCATGTATTTAGTTTTGTCACCTTATATCTACTTTAGCTATTGCACCTAAACTTTGTTTTTGTGCATTCCAAGAATGGCATTTTATGTAAATGATTATCAGGAGAGACTGTATACCTACCCACAAAAAATCTAGAACATAGCAAGACTTTTCTCAAAGCAAGATGACTTCCAGAATTTAACTGTAAAATATTAATTAGTAATCTTAGTTTCAGGTAGGGAGAAGAAACTAAACAGATGCATTCTTCTTTTGTCTAGGCAGAGGCCCAGATTGCTGCAAAAAATTTGGACAAGGAATACCTGCCCATTGGTGGACTGGCTGAATTTTGTAAAGCATCCGCAGAACTAGCCCTGGGTGAGAACAGTGAGGTGTTGAAAAGTGGCCGGGTAAGCCAAGCAGACTCTGGCATCATACAGGGTCTGCTTTTATCTGTAACAAATTTAAAGTAATTTAAACAAATTTATTAACAAATTTTAAGTAATTTAAACAATTTTAAACAAATAGGAAAAGATTATAAGTGTGTGGTGATTGAGGTGGCTACACTTGCTAATAAAGTTAAATTGGCAGTAACTAAAAAGATTTCATATAACATCAATTCTAAAAATGTACTAATAATCCTAAAAATGATAGATAGGTTTGGCCCTACTTTTGCTATTAGTGTCCATGTATTATGTTCATCTTACATTAACCATGCTTTAGAACTGCCTACCTGGGACTAGTTTTAGGCCTATAATTTGTCCCCACACTCGTGTGCTAAGCTTCCATCTTAGATGAGAGAAGCAGGTAGAAACCACCCACAGGTGGACTGTGGGAGGCAGAACCAATCTGGTTTTGTCGGCATCCCTGTCCCAACTATTTTGGGCATTGAAAGAAAGAAGACCCATCCCTTGCATATACAAATATGTAACAGATTGGGCACAATAGTGCACACCTGTAATCCCAGTGTCTGGGGAGACTAAAACAGGAGAAACTCTAGTTCAAAGCCAGCCTCAGCAACTTAGTGAGACCCTGTCTCTAAGTAAAATGTTAAACAGTCTGGGGATGTGACTCAGTGGTTGAGCATCTCTGGGTTGGATCCCCAGTAACCCCCCCCCCAAAAAAAAAAAAAAGGTAACAGTGAGTCCCACCATTATTTGTAATTATCATACATTAATAAAAAATACAGGAAAATATTTTAAAAGATTAAAAAAATAAACAAAACATGTGACAAACAAAAAGAGAAGACCATGCTCCCAACATGTGAACTTAAGTGCATTGTGGTTTACTTTCTCTTGAAGAAAAACATGTGCTTTTTAAAGACTATATTTKCGTATTTATTTTTCTGGGTAGGCCTAGAAGGAAGACAACATATATAGGTTGGGAGTGTGGTCCAGTAGTAGAGCACTTACCTGGCATGTGCAAGGCCCTAGGTTTGATTCCCAGCACCACAAAAAAATAAATAAATAAAACATACAAACATCCTAATGTACTTACTGACTTGATTTTCAAAGAACGTTGATATTCAGAGTATCGGTTCATTTTATATAATTCTAGAGTAATAACATAATGACTGTTCTTGGTCTCTTATGCTTTTTTGTGTTCTAGAAGTTTTCCATGTAACACGGATAGTACTACCAGGCCATAAGGAATTAGCTTCTCAAAAACAAAGAATATTAAGCCAGGTGCTGTGGTGCACACCTGTAATCCCAGCAGCTTGGGAGGCTGAGGCAAGAGGATGGCAAGTTYAAAGCCAGCCTCAGCAAAAGCRAGGTGCCAAGCAACTCAGTGAGATTCTATCTCTAAATAAAATACAAAAGAGGGCTGGAGATGTGCTCAGTGGTCAAGTGSCCCTGAGTTCAATCCCCAGTGCCCAGAAACAAAGGCACAAAGGGTACTGACTAGACAGAGTAGATCCTCTCTGTGGCTAGCCACATCACTGACCATCGGCGTCTCTCCAACAGTTTGTCACCGTGCAGACCATTTCTGGAACTGGCGCCTTAAGGGTCGGAGCCAATTTTATGGTGAGTCTGGAAACTCCTTTAGAAAAGAACTTTTGAGAGCAGCAGGGCTTCCTGTCATGTGTGTATTTGACTGCTGATTCAGAAGTAGGTTTCCTCTTTCCACAGAGTTGGCAGATTTCTTTTCTCTGATTTAAAAAAGAAAGTACTTAACAGGGCACCGAGAGCACTCCTGTAATCCCAGCAGCTCAGGAGGCTGAGGCAGGAGGATCGTGAGTTCAAAGCCAGCCTCAGCAACATAGAGAAACCCTAAGTAACTCAGTGAGACCCTGTCTCTAAATAAAATATTAAAAAGAGGTGGGGATGTGGCTCA